TAGAGAAAAGGTTTTATATCGAAATAACTTTTTTAATTAAAAATATATAAAAGTCAATTATGATTAGGAAATTAATTTTTATATAGAAAAGTTTTGAAACCATAATGAATTGCAACAACAAAGTTTTCATACCAATTATCAATTAAACATTTTGGCTGACCACACCGCGCTTGGTATTAGCTATGGTCTTAATACTATAGACTATTGTTACTACTATTGTCAAGTACCCATCATCAGACGTCTGAATAATAATAAAATTTAATAATAATAAAAAGTATTAAAAGAAGTCTTTGGTTTATTAGTTCCTAGCTTAGTATTTATATTCGATAAAACTAACTGCGGACTAATAAACCAAGGAGTAAATTTTTAATTCTTAATAATTAATTCTGATGATAGGTATAATATTCAAAACAGTTGTATAGTCAACTAGCATCGGTGATATTTGCAAATTAATAAAGTTATAGTCCAAAACAATATTTATATGCACTATTAAGCGTTTTAATATTTCCAGAGACCATAAAATGGTCTTAAAAATATACAATTTTTACATATGTTTAACTTTCTGTGCAATTAATCCTAAAAATATTTTTACATAGTAATTTTTCGACGAACCTTAAAAAAATTATACCATATACATATAACAATATACATATAAATCTGTTTCAACTTTTACTTATAAATATTTTTATTGCAGCGAATGGATCTTATCAGCCTGGTATGGAACCAAAAAGACAGCGTACCGCCTACACACGTCACCAAATACTCGAACTGGAAAAGGAATTCCATTACAATCGTTATTTGACCAGACGAAGACGCATCGAAATTGCCCACACTTTGGTGCTATCCGAAAGACAAATAAAAATCTGGTTTCAAAATCGACGGATGAAATGGAAAAAAGACAATAAATTACCGAATACGAAAAATGTAAGGAAGAAAACTACAGATGCAAATGGTAATCCAACACCAGTAGCTAAAAAGCCAAAGAGGACGAGTGCGAAAAAACTGGCACAACACCAACAACAGCAGCACCAACAACAGACGCAACAACAACAACATCAGCCTCCAGTGATGAATGAGGTGAGTTTGCTGAAATCTGAAATTAATTATTTTTGTACAAAATTAGCATAATTTTTGGTTAATTTTTTTTCTTAAACTAAATATTTTTGCTTTATTTCATCTTCTTCTTTACGCAGTGCATACGTTCTGATAGTTTGGAAAGTATCGGTGACGTCAGTTCATCACTTGGTAATACTCCGTACATACCTGCCGCCGGTGATACAACAAATATGCTGTTACCACATCAGCAACATGCGTGTAATGCCAACAACAACAATACCAATTACTCAGGATCTCAGCATACGAACAACAATAACAACAACAATCTTAACAATAACAATAACATCAACAGCAACAACAACAATCAGCTGCATGCTGGCATGCATCAGCAACATCAACAGCATCAACAACAGCAACAAGATATTTTGGCAAACCTGCAACATATAAAACAAGATTATGATCTGACGACGCTTTAAGATTGATTGGTGAGGGAGAGGGACTAATAGTTATAATCAAATTTTACTCGTTACTTAATATCGAGTGTGGTTTTTATTTACTGTTTTGAACTGCATCGGTGAACGCACTTATCTATCTTTTCGTTTATTTTTTTTTTTAAAAATTGTTTTGATATTTTTTCCATTTGACTACTTTCTTACTTCTTGAACAAAGAAAATATATCTATATGTATATGTATTCATAAAGAAATCTTGTTATATACCATTCTTATATACTTGTAAGTATTTGAATGTACCGTATGTATATAAGATTTGTAGACTTAAGATACAAATCGCGGGCACATGGCCAAAAACTTATTCGGAAAATACAGTGAACTAGTTAAGAAAAATTTTACGAAATTGTAACTATGAAAACTCTATGTGTTAAGGTGTGTAGATATTTTGTATTTAATTTACCAAAACAAAAACAAAAACAAAAACAAAATACATATGTACAATTTGTTCGTTTGTAAAATTATTGTAGATAAATATTTATATAAATATATATTATAAAAGAGAATAGATATGTACTTGTAGCTACATAAGTAATTCTTTAAGTATTAAGTTAAGATTATAGACAATATAAAATCCATACAAATATTTAACTAAATAAATATATGCAATATTTTACATAATAATTCGTAAATAGAGTTTATTTTATATTCTAGGAATTGTTGGCTTATTACTTTTAGGAGGGTGATCCAGAAACACTCAGCTTTCAAACTGCTTTTACACCCTTATTTTTTTCGTAGTCACTTTAATTCGATATAGCTTGAAACACATAATTTATAATATATATTTTTAAAAAATGTTTATAACATAGTTTTAAAAAACTATAAAACCATATCTTCCATAACAATTGTAGTAAGCAGTTCTAGTAACCCTTTAGAGCACTGTTGCGCAACGTGTCATATAGTAGCAATTTGATTGTTAATGCGGGAAATTCGATATAACATAAGACATAAGATGGCGTTATTAAATTTAGACTTTAAACGTGGCCGAGTAAACACCGATGATGCAGAATTCTGTAGTTGCCTAGTGGCCAAAGGTGGTGGTGAAACCGGCCCACAAACATCTAATCACTTGGTCAAAAAAGTCCACAAAATCTTTGTGGCGGAGATTTCAGCTTTTTGAGTTGCGATCTCAAAGACTTCCTACTTTACGGTGCAGTTGTAGTATATCTTAAATAAACCTTTATGATTTTAAAGGAATGTGTAGGTATCTTTTTGCACGAACATTTGTCTATAAGAAAATCCTTTTCGAAGTGGGTACCACAATTGCTGACAATTGACCAAAAACAACACCATATCGATGATTCCAATAGCTAATTGAAGCTGCTAAAGCTACACCTCAGCAGTCGGTGAACATCGCCCAAAGTGACCAAATACGCAACAGTCAACAGGCAAAGATATGTCTTCTGTATTTTTGGATACTCATAATTTTTGTTCATCGACTACCTTAAAAAATATCAGATCATTCATAGCGATCGGTATATAGTCTAACTAGTGAGTTTGCAAGAAAAAATCGTGAAACAACGGTCACATATGAAGAACAAGACTTTTCAAGACACTTTCTCAAGACAGGGCGCGGTGTTACAAGTCCTTGGCTACCATGGCTAAGAATTTAATCATAAGAATTCACTTAATATTGCTTCCACACTTACCGTGTTCTCCAGGTTTGACCCCCAGCAATTATGACTTGTTCGAAGACCTTAAAAAATGATCCTGAAAAAGAGATTTGGTTCTGACCAACAAGTCATAGCCGAAACTGGACGATAGGATGAATCATTCTACAAGAGAGGGACCGAAAAGTTAAAGAAGCGCATATAGTCTAATCGGCTTATGTGTTATTTATATTCCTTGTTATTAATAGTTCCAAGCAATTGAGACAAATAAAGCTAAAAGAAAATTATAGGGATATTTAAGGAATACTAACACGTTTCTTTTACTCCTACTAAATATTTGCCAATTCCGAAAAGAGTGTAAACCAACAAGTAGGTGGATGATAATATAGATGATAGATGCTAACGTCTAATATTGATAAAGAGAACTTAGGAATGATGTTACAGAATTTGTTGACAAGTTATACAAAATTGGTGCACTAAAGTTTTATAAAACTGCAAATAACTTAAGAACGAATGAGCGAATCGCTCCCATTTTTTCCATGAAGTTCTATTTTTATATATATAATATATATAAATAGAAGTAAAACTCTTTTTTAAAACTAATAAACAACTTTTTGTAAAAAAAAAAATATGGATGTTGTACCTCCACGTTTTGAACCTTTTGAATCTTAATATAAAAAGGTACAAGTGGTACAAGTATTTAGCACAGCAAATTTCCTTTTTATAACTATATTCGTTTTTAAGGTATTAAAAGAAATTGAAAAGTTAATCATGTTACAGCTCAAGTTTGGATAGGTTCCAGTAAGTTTCTCCAGTAAGATTGGACGTTCAAATGAAATCACATTTCAAAAACTATGTTTAAACACAATTTGACTTCAATACCTCTTTTGCTTCAGATAATATCAAATTTTTTTCGTCTAATATTAGTTTTGGTACACTGTGTCCCGTGACTACAGCTAGTTCGTTAACTTCAAGAGAAACCTCTTTGTAGAGGGGTTTGATTTGAAGTGATAGTCGACCAGAAGACCCGACATATAATTTTTAAAAAAAGATGTGCGAATACTAGAAAGGCATTAAAATCAAAAACAGAATTAAATTAGTATTTATCAATTAAGATAACAATTAATAATAGGTATGATGCTCAAAATACTATAATATGTTTCCATATATCAATCAAAAAATTGTTAGCTTACTTGTGACATCGGGTGAAACATGATATTATAGTATTTTCTTTTGTTTGAAAACAAATATAATATATAATATATTATACTGTTAATATAATTTACTTTTATAAAGCTTATATCTTGTTTTCTCAATTTGTCTACAGATGATTTATCTACTTCAAGTCGGACTCTTTTACTGACTAACCGCTTACTGAATTACTTTCAGACTACCTATCGACAATATTGGTATTGAATTTTCAAATTTTCTTAACTATTTTCTGTTTAATATTTATAAAAGAATAAATATTATATAAATATTTAATATATTTTATATATATGAATTTAATTAAGAATATTATGAAAATAGCTCATATAATCGCTCTATTTTATTCTACATACTCTAGGAATATATTCTTGTGACAATTCACAAAACTTCTATTCACATTTTTTCGTAACTAAAAATAAAAATATATATAAGTATATACATATATATTGTATATATTAAGTAAAAAGCAATTAACGGAGTTCCTTCGTGCTTAGTCATTCTTCTTTGTCAACTAATTAGGACAACTTTAATTACCAAAACCACAAAATGTTTTTTGCTGCCGTTGGTCTAAAGGATCAACCACAGAACGTTAAAAGTTTTTATTGTGCCAGAGAACCGCCAGCCCCACTTCGATTATGCGATGTGAGTACAACAATCAAGGATTTACAAGCAAGTCTAAACGCAATCGCTTCTATCAGCCTAGCCAATTGTCACCCACCAATCATCGTCAACTCGATAGCTGATTTAAATACCAGATAGTGACATATGCTAACAAGAGTTCTTAATTAAAAATCGATTCCCAATGATTGATCACATTGCGTTGGCACCTGTTGGCTTCTGGAAATATGTTCAACATGAGGCTTGGCATCCTCTGCGCCGTTGGCAAATTCAAATTGCAACTTTTTGTCTTGCTCGACTACGCTCGAGTGGATTCATTATGAATATTGTCATACAGTGGCAATGGAATCATTGTATTGAGTTTACGTCATTTACTCTTCCTGGAATTATTTGTTAAGGTTCGTTGCTACAAAAATACTTGTTTGAAATGAATATACAATATGTGGACATTACTTGGTGGTATCTAGATTTGATAACTTGTAAGTTTTTTTGAGTATAAGGTAGCGAGTGTTGTTATTTCACATAATAATCGAAAGTAAATTTTAAATGCATTTTAATATTCATAAGTTATCTATTATTATAATGTGTATTAGTTACTGTTTCTTATGAAATATATACTAAAGAATTAATATATTTTTTTAAGTATTTGGATTGCTTTAACCTGTACTGCTGAATTTATGCTCATATGAACGAACCCACACTGTTGACAATACTACCACGAAATATACGAAATATTTGACATATCCTACAAATACGAGTTGCCAGTACAATCAATCTCCAAGTTTTGACGTTGGATTGTCCTACATGAACACGAAAATACTCTTAGCGATTAATTTATCATTGCGAAAAGATCTTCTACATGCGCTTACACTGCTAATAAAAACACGGGTTCCTCATGCTAGGCATGAGACTTGTCTTACATTTACTTACCACACTTGAAAGGCACACATGAAGCGATAAAAGGATTAAAACGTTGGCAAGGCAGTGTTCGAGGATGGCTTTTATGCACTCATAAATTAATGAATGATTGTTTGGTGGGCTCGTGATGAGAAGAGGGTCACAATTAGCAGCTTTGCATTAATAAATGCAGCAGTAAATATTAGCAAATTAATTTATACAATGCAAATTAGCAAGTGACTTAGTCTTTAAACGATATCACTTTGAAGCAAATGTATTTCTACTAGGCTTATTAATTAAATAATCTATTAATTTTCTTAGTGTTCAATTTTTTATGAATATTTAATTAATTTTCATAAATCATTGATAAACAGTTATTATGAAAGCAAACCAACAATGACATTTTATACACCAAACGGGATCAATGGTTAAAGTAAGGGATTTTGAGTTTTTAACTTTGGTGTTAAGTTTAACCCGGTAAGTTAATTGATGTATTTTATACACTCAGAAAAATATACTCTAACCACATACTACTTAAAGTGACCTGATCATTTTGTGAGTGTAATTTCAGCTGATGTGGTAAAGAATATAGAAAAACTTACATGTGATATGGTTAAACCAACATGATTAAGTCAGAAGATTTAAGTAAAAACACTTAAACCTGAGATTTAGTTAAAATCTGGTTAAATTGACCATTCTTCTGTTTACTGTTGGATATTAAACATTTATTGGTACTAGATCTGAATG